TCGCCGTTCCCTCCTCACCGAGCCGCCCCACCGCCGCCGTGGCGGGGCCAGCTCGTCTCCGGAGGCCGCGTCGAGGAGACGCGGGGCCGCACACGACCGAGCGCGGAGGAGCGGCGGAGACACCGCAGCCGCGTGCTGCTCGCGGGCCGGGCCCCCACGGACTGCCTGTTTTCCGGGTTCCTTCGCGTGGACCCCTCCTCCGACAAACTCTGATACTCCGCGCGAGCGCAGCTCGGCGCGCGCGAAATAAGCCTGATAGCTCGGAATTCACACACCACGGCGGGGAACTAGCCTGGTCGCGGTAGTAGTGGTTGCGACAAAGAAAGAAAAATGTAGCCACACTGCATCCATTATTCACCCACCGCTCCACGGCTTCTCTTTCTGGGCTCTTTGCCAAGGTGCCAAGGCACAGGTAGGGAGGTGGAGGTGGACGGGCTCCGAGTGAGCTGCAGGGGAAAAAAGCATTTCCGCGTCGGTCCAGCTCCTAGGCCAGGCCCTCCCGGGGGCCCTGTGATCTGCGAGCCTGTGAATTCCAAAGGCAAAGATGAGGAGCGGCGTTAGCCCAACAGGACTGAAGTCAGCGGACTATAAATACTGCTCCCTTCTCTACCTTTGGCTCACTCTGGTGACCTCGGATACCCTCCGGAGTCTCATTCCCTCCATTTGGAATATGTAGATAATTGTCACTCCCTCTTTCCCTCCATTTCTCCTCGTTCTTTGGAAAATGCTGTTAAAAGTATTTAATGTCCTGTATGTGGAGACAGAGTATAGGCCTCTTTTTATCAACCAAATGTGACCTTGATCTCTTTGGTAAGTCTTCCAACGAATGTTTGGCGTTAAATTAAGTCTCTTTACAAAAGATACTCTTTTTAAAGTTATCTTTATAAAATCGCTGTTTAAACTGTGAGTAAAAGAGAGAGGCAAGGAAAAGAATGTGCCTGGCACTGATGCTTGTTTTTACACACATTCTCCCTTGAGAGAAGTTTAGATTCCAGAGTATTTCCTTATATTATTGTTTAAATGTCTAAATTCCCTTACATTCTCGTTTAAAGATTATTTTGTTCATCTTTTATTCTGTCCGCTTTTCTCCCCTTTTGCCCTTAATGCCTCGCAAACCCTCTGTAATTCCAAATTATTTTCCAATTCTGTTTATTCTTTGTCTTCTTGAACTCTAGCTGTCTCAGGTTTGAAAGTCATGGATTATAGTATCCTGCTGGGCAGGATGAATGTACAGTACATAGTTCCCCTGCATCACCTAACATCTGTCACTCAAGTTTTCTACATATAACACTGCTTCAATTGTAGGGGAAAGGGTAGAACTTTGGCTGGAGGAGATTGAGACTGATTGGCCAAAGAACTCATTAATGCATGCTGAGCAATGTGTCATGGCAGATAAAGCCATGACAATGTGTTAATATACTCTCTCGAGCCTAGTTCAATTTTCAGGCTTATGAATCAGTCTATAAAATAGATAATCTCAGGTTGGAACTTTTAGTGCATCAAGTTTCCCAAATGTACAAATTGGTGTTGTCTAGGTTGTGTTGTATACCACTATAGAAATGAGAGCAAATAAGAAGCATCAAATTTTAAGTCATGATATCTGTGCTTCTCTACAAAAGGATCTCGTATTCAAGTCTTTGGGAATTTTACTTGACATCCTTTTGCTCTTCATGGATAAGGCCCAACTTAGCGCCCAGGCTTAGATCCTTAACCATTATCACGGCAGACAACCTACCTACCAGCAACTGAGCAGAGCATGGTTATTTTCTCTGGCTCCTGGCATGTGTGTGCATGCTAGCCTGTTTCTCCGGTTTGCCTGCCCACTAAATGAACAAGAGCAGCCAGGAAGCCCAAGGAAACATCTGGACACGTAAGGTCTGGCCCCCAAACTCAAAGGCAACACCTCAGGGTCTCAATTTAACATTCTCTAATGTGACGGTTTTCCTTTAAGTAGATTAACAGAATGGGCTGGAAATGGGCCTTTTGTCTCTGCACGATTTGGTTGAGGTATAGATGTCAAGCATGATCACTGCATGCCCAAACCAAAATGCCATTAATTTGGAATGGGAAATCACCCTTCTGCTACTGTCAGATCCTCAAGGACACCTTCCCTGAGCACCTGTCTTAAATTAGCACCCCAACAAAGCCAGTTTTCATTTTCTTTATGCCACTTATTACTGTATGAAATTTCCTTGATCATTTAGTTATTTGTTTACGATCTGAGTTTCTCTGACCCACTAGAATGTAAATGCCATGTGAGCAAAGACCTTGTCAATCTTGTTCTCAGCTGTTTCCTCAGAGCCTCCTTCCTGGCACAGAACAAGTGCTCAATATTTGTTAAATGGATGAGAGAGATAAGGATAGAATTTCCTTTTAAGCATTTCTGAATCTTGTCATCAAGACCCAGTTTTAGAGGGTGACTTGGACTATGTTGAAAGGGTGAAGCCAGTGGGGGAGATCAGAGGAACTATGGGTTATACCATCTTCAGTGAAATGGAGAGTTCTGCTTTCAGGGAAGGCATTAGCTCAGTAGATTAATCCAAGTTAATCCATCCAAAGTCATTTTCCTCTTGTAAAGACTTTATGAGGCAAAGGCAGCACTAAATCATTATATATACAAAGATAAATTAGAGTCTAGTAAGGAGGGACTGGTGAAGGGATGTCCTTGGCAGAGTGATGCTTTAGGACAGAAGTGTTGTGAAGAGAAGAGGAAACATCTACATTTTTCAGCATGGACATGACTACATCATTTTATTGGTTAATAGTACCCTGTCATGGTTTAGAAGGACCAAGCCGAAACAGAAATTGTGTTTAAGGAAAAAAAAAAAAAGATGATTATATGTAAATATAATTCATTTCACAAAATAGAGAAAAGTTTAAAAAATGAAATTTGTTCTTTTCTTTGTAATAATATAATATTTTACTTCCCCTTCTAGTTTTCCTTGTAAATGACTTGCTCCTTTTCCCATTTCCATTTTCATTTCTCTTTGTTTCAAAGCACTTGTTTACTATGATTAAAAGATGGTGTAATGTACAAAATAGATAAACAACAGGATCCTACTGTATAGTACACGGAACTCTATTCAGTAGCTTGTAATAACCTATAATGAAAAAGAATATATATATATATATAACTGAATCACTTTGCTGTACATCAGGAACTAACACAACATTGTAAGTCAACTTTACTTCAATTACAAAAAAATGGTTTAATGAGGCTTTTGCTGCAAAGCAACCACTTGGTCCTGCCTTGTCTGTGATCTCTGTAGTCTTCTCCCTACTGTCAGTACATCCTTTACCATCGAGCCCAGTCCTTTCCTGGCCCTGTGGCAGGAAGAATTCTCAGCACCCCAGTCCCAAGCCCAGGAGCCAGCCTCCTGCTGCCTTTGCTACTTGAACTTGGGGAGCCCTAACGTTGGCCCCCTTCTAAGCACTAACTCACAGCCCTTTTCTTGCTCTTGAAGCCCTGGCCTTTCAACCTGCATGGAACTTAATTTTCTCTGCCTGTGGTCTGGACTCTGCTCCCTGGAGTCTGCCCCAGCCCTACAACACACACTCTAACACGCACTAACAGATACCCCTGCTGGCAATGCTTGTTTGCCTTCAGCTTTGCTCCTCGATTCTCTGCGTCCGTATTCTAGGCATCTATCAGGCCTCCTTTCCTCCATTACCTCAAGTTGGACATCCTGATGGCTGCTGCTCTCCTGGACACACACCTATTGTTTGCTCACTGCTCTCTGGCTGTCGGGTACTGCCTACGGGCTGGAGCTCCTCCCACCAACACCTGGAGCTGGGGCCTCCCCATCTCAGCTCCCCTCAGCCCGCAGTCAATTTGTCCTTCCCCAACCTGCAGCAATTCACTGCCCTTACCACCCTGCCTTTCTCTGTCCCAAGAGCAGTGGAGTTATGATCTATTACACTTTTTTTTTTGGTAGGGGGAGGTAATTAGGCTTATTTCTTTATTCTTAGAGGAGGTACTGGGAATTGAACCCAGGACCTCATGCATGCTAAGCATGCACTCTACCACTTGAGCTATGTGCTTTATTTTTTAAAATAAATTTTACTTTTTTAATGGAGATACCCCACACTGAACCCAGGACCTCATGCACGCTAAGCACATGTTTTACCACTGAGATCTACTCCCACCCGCCATTACACTTCATTTTTTGACCAAATATAAATAAAGATAGATACAAAGAAAGAATACACATGTATATTTATATACATATATATTTGGGTTTTGTTTTTATCTGATTAAAAAATGAAATATACTAGGCGCATTTATGTGTGTGTATATATAATGTGTGTATATATATACATTTATATTATACATATAACATGTGTGCACCCACATCTGGTTCTACTTACTACTCAACACTGATTCTAGTCAAGAATCCCTGTGCTCGCTTCGGCAGCACATACACTAAAATTGGAACAACATGGAAGATTAGCACTGCCCTTGCACAAAGATGACACACAAATTTGTGAAGCATTCCATATTTTTAAAAATTAGCTATACTTCAATTTAAGAAAAAATTAGAAACCAAAAGAAAATTTTTTTCACTATTTCCAAAAAAAAATATATATATATATAGAGGAATTCCTTTGGCACATGGTAATCCAAAAATCCCAGCGTCTGGAGCTGAGTATGATGACCTTGTGAAGGACCAGTCAAAGAAAGATAGTGTCATGATAAAGATCTAAACTGAGATAACTGGAGAGATACCATCCTGGATCAGGAATGCTGTGTCATTAACCGCTATACTGTATTTACTGTATGTGGTCTACACAGTTATTCAGATATACTCTTAGGTGTGGTGTGCTATCCCCAGCGTGAACGGGCGCCATATCCACCATATATGTTGGGGTCCCTATCCCTGTGCTGAATACAAAGTCCCACAGGACAGAAACTGCCTTCTTCTCACTCCACTGTGCCCCTAGGATCTAGCCTGCTGCCTGGAACACCAGTAGGTTTTCAGTAAATACTGAATGAATGAATGACTAAGTGTGCTGGCCAGTATAGTAGATTCCTGTCCCGTAAAAGCTTAAAATCCAGTAAAAATAAGATGTGTATGTAATTCCTTCATTTGATATTTGTTTCTGAGTCAGGATTTATTGCCTTAAGTTCGTTGATAATTCATTTTGTTCTCTATTGATTGTTGGCCCTCGTTCATTCCTTCTATTTTTATCAACCGAGGCAGCTTTTTTTTTTTTTTTTTTTTTTGGTTTTGGGAGTTTTGTTTCAGTATTTTTGAGAATTAATGTGAAAACACTTATCCTGTTGGAATGGGAGTCTAATAAATGACACAGAACCATCACTGACTTTAAATTTTACCAACTCTTTTCAACAAATAATGCTTGCATTCTGGGGTTCGATTTGCTCTTTAAAACAACTTCCTCAGTTCTTTCACAGGGAAACATAATCACATATTCAAGCAGTAACCAGTAACTATCAGTGTTTCTTTTAAAATGTAGATTTTACATTTAGTTTGCTATCCATCTTAAAGCCTGTCTTCCCCACTGTGTACCTGAATTACACTTGCTGTCCTCCAGAGTGGTCATTCCCTTTTTCAACTCATCTTGCTCAGTTTTTCCAGATTTCACTTAATACAAGTTATTTTTATTTATTTATTTTGGGGAGAGGTAGTGAGGTTTATTTTTCTTAACGGAGGTACTGGGGATTGAACCCAGGACCTCGTGCATGCTGAGCTTATGCTCTACCACTGAGCTATATCCTCTCCCCCCAGATTTCATTTAATAAAACATCACTCTCATTGAAATCTGGGAACCACTGTTGTGTGGCAACATTGTGTGAGACTGTTCTTTCCACTTCCTGCAGAAAGGGCCACATTCATTCTCCTTTTAATGCCATTCTCCTGCCTGCAGTGCCCAAGTACCACCTCTTGCCAGAAGTCATCTTTGACTGCTCCATCCTAAACTCCTTAGGCTTTTCTCTCACTAGCCTAACTCACTGATTGTTTTTTTTTTTAAAGTCGTTCCTATGTCTTTCTCCAAGATAAGATTTCATACCTTTATTCACTTACACATGAATAGGGGCTTTCTAGACTCCCAGCCTGGAGAAGGACAGTTTAGAGGGTATCAAAATACATGGGGTATCAAAATAGCAGCCCCAGGCTGGGGTCTACCACTGTAATCTTCAAATTCCTTGCCCCTTTGTTTTCAGGGTCCGACTGGAGGTGGAGGGGTGGTCACAAAGTTCTCAATGCATCTGCGGTGCTGCTCTCTCTCTCAAGGTCAAAGAGGGCAGCGCCCTTCCTCCTTCCTTTCTACCCTCCCCTCTCTGGTTGTTACCAGAGTTGCTGTCATCACTGTGCTGAACACCGGAGTGGCTACATTGCAGAACTCCAAGGAGTGCCATTCACATCCCGCTCTGTGGGAAAGATGTTCCCCAGAGATGTGCGGTACACAGCCTGCGCCTGGCCCTACTGAACACCATGGAAGTGCCACCCCAATTGCAGGCAGGGAGCCTTGTCCCTGGCTTGCTAAAAGAACCAGCTTTTTTATTGTTTAACATTATATACTATATATCTACATGTCACGTTATAGATTACATATATATAGATATAGCATTGTATTTTATTAAATAACATGATGTGCCTTTCAGGGCATTTGGGGGAAGTGAAAGTAGCAAGATGCATATTTGTCAATATTAAGTCAACTGGAATCCCATAGAAGATGTGTAATTAATCAACATTTTCATTTATTTGATCAATGTGAATGTTCTTCTTAATAACAAATTATTCTGTTGTTATATTTACAACAATGCATCATACTAATCAAATTTTATATATACACCACATATTATCAAAACTGAGATAGCATTGATTATAAGCATTGTTACTTTATGTACAACTAGGAAAGAAAAACACTGCCAGTGAAACTCTGACACACCATTTGATTGTAAGACATTCTAATTTCAGAGGTAATAAAATGCCAAAAAATGTGCATCTAAGAATTGATGAAATACAGTGTGTTTTAATGCATCTAAAAGGCAAAGCAACACCACACAGTTTCAAAAGTTTGAAATGTTGAGTTTCTGGGGTTTTGACATTCAGTTTTATTTGTCTGTGCTGCCTAGCCCTCAAATAGCCACACTCTGAATGTTAACCACAAGAGCAGAGGCAGTACAGTTCAACTGCCTATAAACACGTAAAACAAAAGTGAGTAACTTATGATTCAGTCACATAAAGTTTGGAAGAAATACAAGCATCAAGTCATGTTCTGGGATTATATTACAAATGAAAAATTAACTTTTTGACGGCTGGTTATACCGAAACTGTGTGATGACAGGAAGAATAGACATGTTTTCATCTTTGGAAAAGTCAAACTAAACAGAAAAATCTCCACAGTGCGGTAGAATGACTCTCCATTTATCCCGGAAGCTGAACAATAGTGCTTGTTACTTACGGGGCCATCAGGAAAAGCCAGCTGTGGATTTCTTTCTAGTACAATTAATTGCTTCCGCTGTATATAAAATTGAAAGAATTGGGTGCTTTAGTGCGGAAAAAGGATATCCTGCTACACTGCTCCTATTTCCTCACAAAAGCTATTATTGAGCCTTTTGCCATTAATTCACATGCATTGGATTATCCTGTGATAAAAGACCAAGTGGCTTTTCATTTTTATAGTCTCTTATCTCCTATTTATTTGGCACCTCTCTGGAGATACCTGCTCTTCTCCCGAGACTGGTTAATTGCTAGGATGTCAGAAGGTAGCTAATGACTGACTTCCTTTTTCAAGACTAATTGAGGGCCCATCTCTGTCCTTTTTCTTGGACTGGCCTTTCTCATTGCTGAGAAATATTCTGAGTTCTGTTGTTATCTGAAATGTTAGATGCAGCATTTTCAATGCTGGCTTTCAATCTCTGTCTGCTGTTCATTTTGAGACTAGCAAGTGACTCTTTTATAAATCCTCTGTGTAAGGGGGAGGGTATAGCTCAAGTGGTAGAGTGCATGCTTAGCATGGATGAGGTCCTGGATTCAATCCCCAGTACTTCCTCTAAAAATTAATAGAAGAAAAAAAATCCTCTGTGTAGATTTGCACTATCTAATACAATAGCTGCTTGCCATGTATGGCTGTATAAATTTTAAATTAATTAAAATGAAATTAAATTTTAAAATTCAGTTTCTCAGTTTAGGCCTATTAAGTGCTCAGTAACCACATAAAGTTAGCAGCTACTATGTTGGAAAAGGGCAGATATAGAACATTTGCATTTTCACAGAAAGTTCTCTTGGACTATGACCCGCTCTGCTCAGGCCTCGTGAACAGTACCTGAGCCCATCTCCTGAACTCATGGTTTTGTTCCCTCCGTTCAAATCAAATGGTAGAAAGGCTATTTTCAGGATCATTTCTATACTTTATTACTTGAGAAGGTTCTCTATACATGTAGAGCACCAGAAATGAGGATTGCTGTTCGATAGGTATAACATTAGTTATGTAAGAAGTATTCTTACCACAATAAAATAAGTAAAAAAAAAAAGAAAAAGAAAAAAGAAAAAAAAACATATGTATTGGTAGAAAATTGAACACAATGCTGATAGTGTTTGTGGTCGTCTCCAGGTAGTGGGACTATCATTATTTGTCCTTTTTTTTTTTTCCTTTTTTTTTTTAATTGAAGTATATTCAATTTACAATGTTGTGGCATTGCTTTTTTCTTCTTCTTATTTGTATGTGTTTTTCAGATTCTATACAATAGGCACATATTCTTTTCTTAATCGTAAAAATTACATTTTAAGATACTTAAGCCCATTCATTTCTTTAATCGCCAGTTTTGAACTAAGGTGGTTTATCCAGCCCACTCCCCTAAGAAAGGAAGTAGTCATTTGGAGCAACTGTTTCTTTAAAAATTACTCTCAGCCAGCAGCTCTTAGTTGAGAGATCTGTATTCCCTTCTATCCTAGCATGAAAAGCATGAGAGAACCTGCATTTGGGATGCCCAAGAACTCTGCTAAAGAATCACAGAACATCCTTTCGGAAGAGATGGCTCGTGATCACTAGCAATCCCCTCACCCAGGCGTTCGTCGGGCATTTTGCCAGGATCCAAGCATTCCTAGACTCTATAGTTCAGGGTCTCGGAATCAAATCCCAACAGGTTAAGAAGGCTTGTGGAGCTCAAGAGGGCTCTAGTCTTACCATTGAAAAGAGGGCCATAAAAAAGAAATCCTTGTTTCCTAAAAGTTCAGGCATGATCATACAGGTTTAATTAGGAGCAGCAAGCTGTTTACAGCAAATTATAAACTGTATAAAGCAGACCTCAGTGGACACTCCCAAAGGACGGCCCATGAACTCTTACTTCTCCAAGTCTGGATTCAGCAGATCTGGCATGGTAAGGTAGGCTGCTGCAATGCCAGCCAGAGGAGTAGCCCAGAAGTGGGTTTTCCAGAACTTTCCATGACCAAGGCAAAGGGTCAAGAGCTCCTAGAATGCCTCTGTTTTTCTTTCCTTTTGTCCTTGAAACTTGAAGCCAATCCACTGTTTTCTTGA